GACAACACTCGACAACATAGATGAATTTTCACGCCTTCGGAGTGATTTGTTACTGGCAGAGAGGGGTTCCGACTGGTAGCATCAAATACAATTGAAACAATTTTCCTCGAGTCTGAGGAAGAGGCCGATATTAGAAATCTGCTGGGTTATCAGATTTTGATGTATACCAATGGTGAACAAGTTATGGATGTAGGTCGTTATGACAAAAGCGTCTTATTCGCTTTTTTTGCAGCGCGAAGCTTTTTTGATGCGGGATCCAGCTCCTCTTCCAGGTCCACCCTGATCATTATAGTGGTTGTAGAGTTCCCGCAGCGAAAAATTTCTGCACTGCAGAAAACGAATATGCAGTTTCGATAAGATAAGTTTAGTTCTAGCGACACTGAAGTACCCCATGGCACGTACGCGCGCATGGTTCCAGTAATATAGAGGTGGTTGATTTTTGATTCCGGGCCAAAGAAACGCCCACGAGACGAAAATTCTATGTGGATTGAATGACGAGCCATCACGAATGCAGAAAAAGCTTGCGATGAACAGGAGCACGCGGATACAAAATGAGAAAAAATATGTTCATGGGAAACCTCTAATGGAAAGACAAAGGATAGAAAACAACCATACTTTCCCCAGCCCACCATCACCTCCAGCGAATCGGCTCGGGGCGTTGTTGCAAGTCCTGCAAAACCCTCAAGGAATCAATTCCCGTTAAGAGCTGAAAGGTCTCTCTTTGCTAGTTAGAGACCGAAAAAAGTTCAGTAGCATATCTGCAGCTCGCTGCCCACAATAAGAAGTTCTTTTAAGCAGAAAAATGCTTGGAATTGGAAAAATTCGCTATACTAATATTCAACAGATCGACGAAATGATGCACTACCAAGAAACCAAACATCTGGGTGCATGTTGTGGTGAGGAATTACAAGCCGACTGTAAGCAACTACCTATGCAGTTTACCCTTTTTGGTGACCGAGAATGTCACAGTGCTCATCATCATCAATTCAAATCAAAACATGTTTTGATATGGCGGAAATAGCAGGACTGTAATGAAGAGTAGCATTGTAAAATCTCCAAAAAGGGCAGTGAACCGCATTTCATGGTAAGTTGACCATGAAAAGACGCCGCGTTAAGAACAAAGTACGTATTGGCAGGGACATCTTGTCCAAAATCCCAGTGTTCAGCACCAAGCGTCAGAATCATGGTGTCAAAATCCCTGCAGGTTGTTAGTGCCGCAAATGTGTTTTTGGCAACCCCGAGCGGCTCACGTGATGCGTACATTGAAATGAACTCCAAACATCTCCTCTCGATGAGCGCGTCGAATAAACAATCCACCACATCTCGCTTATTTATTTATTTATTTATTTGCATGTACAAAAGTACATGGAAAAACACAACAAAACTGTGCCAAGACGTAACAACACAACTGGAAAAATAAACATCATAAGAAAATGAAGTAGAACAACAAAATTTTACTAGTGAATATGATTGTCCATTCGCAAGTTGCGCAACAAAGTCTCTGAGGCGTAGGTTAGGGCAGGAAGGACAGCGGAATCGAAGAGGTGGGCACGGAGCCGGATGTTCTTTATTTTCTTCATGTCTCCCTTGATGTTCTTGAAATGCTTCCCATGCCGCTCGTTTCCTCCTGCTCAGCTGCACTTATCAGTCAAAATTACTTTGGTTCAATTTCGAATATGCATGCAGTGGACTCTTGTTACCGTGATTTATGGCCAGCCCTTGAATAGTCACGATTTGGATGGAGAAAAGCATGGAGGATCACTGTGTGTATCACCACAGAACAGAACACTAATTAATAAAACACTTGATTTTGACTGCAAGTGTGACATGCACTAACAAAGGAGGTCGTTCAGGGCAGGGCGGTCATTTCAAAACGGTTTTGCTGTTATAGGATTACAGACCAACGGACAAAATTTTTACATTTTTTAGTTGGAGCTTCCTAAATTTTCTCAAAATACCACCAGCGCAAAAATTAGGTATCACATTCATTATCAGGACCACCAGTCGTTATTAAACTCAGATTTTAACTGGAATATGGCGCGAAAAAAAGTTGCAACACCATAAGGGTGCCAAATGGTGCCCCGAAAAATCGCGGTTGGGTCACCTTCATCCTGGGTGCAAGTCCGAGATTGGCGTAAGTTCTGCAGGTAGACAAAACAAAACTGTGACGAGGTGGCAGTCTCAGATAAAGGGGGGGGGAAGATACATGCCATGCTTCGCGTTCTTACTCCTCGTCAATGGGAGGAATCACCACATTTGATAGCTAGTTTAGTGTACTTCGCCTCCGTCCTAGGTCCTTTGCATTTTTCCAAAGAACACATCAGATCCATTACCTTGTTTACATCTTACCGTAGGCGTTTCCTTCACCCCTATTCCAGCTTTGCGAGAACCAGTAGTGTAAGTTTGGAAACCAACGAGCGTAATGAGGGCCTCATTTGATTGTCATTAATTTTGAAATTTTACACGGTACCCCTCCCGTTTGCAGCTCTCCTGCCTCCTCTTGGCATCACGCTTTCTGGTTTCATCGAGATTCCACTGCATTTCAGAAACTCGCCCATACAGGTGTTTATTGACGGTAGATTTTCAAATGGACGCAGCAAACTCGAAGCAATACCCTCAGTGCGAAAGTGCTTGTACAACCATGCTAGTGTTAGGTTGTCCGATGAGTAGTCATGTGTTTTTTTAAAGAGTTCCTCCGGCAAATTCCCACGTTTTCGAAAATGCTGTACATCTGTTGAAATTAGAATCGTTCGCTCTATTAAAGCATATTCCATCGCTTCTACTGTCATTGCGAATTGAGTGAATAACAAACTGCAACTGTGGGTGGTTCGGTAGATGAAAAGTCGTCAAACTGGCAACTATCTCAACCTCTATGTTTTTTCAGAAGGAATTTTCTCATAAGCAAGGCCACTTCAAACAAAAAGAACCTCCAGCAGTAGTTGTCCAGAGTAACGCTGAGATAGTTTTGCCCTCAAATTGTGGTTTCCTTTAAGCCATTCCCTAATACTAATTGCCGGGAGCCTCGCGATTCCTCCAGAACTCATTTTTTCATGCGATCTGCAGGAATTCATATTTTCGGTCTCAATGTTGGATTCGCCGCACTTACCACGCATTTCAGAAAAACTGGCCCGTGTGCTCCTTGCCCTTCTGCGATCATAAAACAATATTTAGCTGTTTTTGTTTGTTAACTGCTGTTTTTGGCCGCAGTTCGCCTTGCGAATGTTTCACAAGAATGCTGGGTTGTGAACAAAACTTTCGCCCCAGGCGGGACTAGAACCCGCACCTCTCGCTTTCCGGGCAAGTGCGCTACCAGTTACGCTACCGGGGCACCATTTCATCCCAACTCAGCTTTTCATGATATACTACTGAGTTGGAATGAAATGGTGCCCCGGTAGCGTAACTGGTAGCGCACTTGCCCGGAAAGCGAGAGGTGCGGGTTCTAGTCCCGCCTGGGGCGAAAGTTTTGTTCACAACCCAGCATTCTTGTGAAACAACAAAACATTCTTATTTATCTACTGTGTGGTTTCCCCACATTTCAGTAATTCCACATATGTAATTATTCTTGTAACGCCCTGCCGGAGATCAGGCCGATGTCATAGTTTGCGAATCCAGCGATTCGCTCGATTCGCAAACTATGACCTCGGCCTAACAATGGAACGAGACGCGAAGGTTAAGGGGGCACAGGTTTCCTACGATATTATAGATAGTAGCTGTGGGAGTGTTGTAAACCTGGATTATCAACTATCCCTACCGTGAGCGTCTGCTGCTAATGTTCTTGTTTCAATAAAAGGTGTGCAATTATAGTCTCAATACCAAAGTGGCAGGTTCAAACAGACTACAACAGCATGAGCTGTGCTTTCTGGACAACGTAATAAAAACGTTTCGTGAGCGCTGAGTATGCAAGGGAAATACAATTCTATGTACAGTTCGCTAAAAATGTTGATTAGCATACATTATACGAAGTTATACGATCTACTGTCATTTGAAGAAACAAATTGGTACTGACAACAGAATTAATCAGATGTGGGAGGTAGCACGTCAATGGGTATGTGTCGTTAGGTCTCCCGCGTCATCACGCGACGTTGTAGTGTGCCACGTGCGGTACATTTCCAAGGAAATTCATTTCATAGACGCCTCTTTCCTGCCTTCTGCCCTCACTCACGCGGCTGCTACCTCGTCGTGCTAACACGAACTCACGGCGCAACGATTTATCAGGGCGCGTGCACAGCCCCAACAAATGAGGGGATAGATCTACGCCGACTGAATGGACCCATTCCCTCGTTGGGGTTTGCTGCACCCGGCCCCAGATATATTGCCGCACAATTTTTCTGCGCGTGACGCGCAGTTTGCTCGAAGCCGCAAAGAGACCTAACTATACACCTTCCAGGTTAATGTAACTGTTGGTTGCTTGAAATGCGAAAATGTAGTTGACGATAGACATGAACGTACTCCTTTCCCTGCAAATGGAATCATTAATACAACAGCAGCGTAATCCATGGCCGGTGCTTGAGCGAGTATAAAGCCGGCGAAGCAGACTATGACATCGGCCCTACGTGTTGAGAGAAAAAAAAGAGTGTACTCGATGTGGTCCCTTTGGCAGCGTAGCAGATGAAAGGGTGTGTAGTTCAAAAATTTGATTCCTCTATAGCTCCTCATTTTCCGTCGCTCGAAATTGCTTACCAGTACCTGATGTACAGTTATTTACGGTCATGAAAACTACAGATTCAAATGCCAGCCAGTTCCGAAAGTTATTGGGACCTGGGTAGACCCTATGAAGACATCGGATCAAGTCAGAAGGACGTGAGCGCCCAGGTGTTGAAACAAATCGGTGACAGGTAGTGCCTGGCGGATGGCAAGAGGCATGTCCGTTGAAGTGTATTGTTCTTATCGTGGTTAGAAGAACCTTCAGAAGGATTTTCTCCAGGATATTACTCCTATTTGAAATTTAAAATAGAAGGTATCAAAAAATAACAAGAACATATTAATAATTTGTACCTGTCTCAGTATGCAGCGACAGCACTGCTCCCAGCTTGATCGGCGCCCATGGCCAAATTGGTCTGTCCACCCTTAAAAGTAGCCTAATGCTTTACCGCATACTTTCCAAAATAAACAACCGAATGACGGTTCGTACTTCTAAGATAATTGGGCAACTTTTCAGCTCACCCATCATTCATTCATGCCAACAAGAAGTTGTAGCACCGAACATAATGGACTGCTTATTGGGTGAGACCCTGAAGCCTTCAAAAATTACCTGTTTACTGTAGCGCACGTACGGAGCACCGGTAGCCACGTCCAAGTACGCCGACACGGCCGGCATCTGGTCGTTGCCGATTCCGCAGTTCTTAGGAACATTCACCTTGCATCTGAAATCATGCTTCGACACAGTCAACAATACCTATTTATTTATTTATTTATTATTTATTTATATAGCTATTGTTTACAAATAAAGCACAATTTGAGTAGTAGTTTTCATTCAACTTATTCACCTTGAAGTAGCACAAAATTTCACACGATTAAAGCTAAACCTCCCATGTGCTCTTTTTATAAGAGCAAACCGAACCGAAATAAGCCGTCGAAAGTGTCTCAGCAGATATTTGGACGTGTCACCCCCCCCCCGTCAAAATTTCATATCCTTAATTAAATTCAGCATTGTACCCTTACCGTTTGTGCACGTTCATTTTACAGCCGGAGCAGTGGAAGCCTTGCTTGACTAAGCCGAACAGCATCGAACCGCAATGGTCGCAAAATGTCGGACGGTGGTAGTTACGAAGAGTGAAGTGGTGCTCCTCATTGAGGTTGGCAGGATCCATACCAGTCTAGAACGAGGTCAAAAATTGTCATGATTAATGGAAAACTGAAAATTCTCTCATTTTACATACACATTTGAATTCGTACATTTGAACACCGACAATCCTATCGAACTTAGAAAGGTAACATATTTGGGCTTTATTGATGCCTTTTTACGATACACGATACTTTCGCCTTCCGGTCAGAATCGTAGTGGCATTTCAATGTGACTTGAAAATACACTAGCTTGCGGGCTTAGGGGCACAACCCAGGCAGAACTCGTGTGAACTATTCCCTTCGGTTCACAGGATAGCCCTACGGGACAATCACAGTATCCCGTGCACGGAAATCACCCGACAAGAGCGCTAGGGCCTTGCAAAGTGAAGCTGCAGCAGCTGCAATTTTTTTCTCATCAGGCTGTTGTCTGGCGCTCTCTCATCTGTTGCGCTCTCTCGCCTCATACTCTCCTCTCGCGCTTAGTCTCTCATTCCCTTAGCACAGCCGATTAGGAAGGTGAGTGAGCCCTAAACCTTTCTGTTTTCTTATTCTTTTCCTTTACTGTCTTCCCATTTCGCACCAATACATTCGTATTCGTGGCCAAGAACCA